AAAAAAAAAAAAAAAAACTCGGCCCTCTCATCTATTAATAATAATCCAATTTGCATTAGTATTGGTAAATTTCGGTAAGAAATCGTTCGGTAACGGTTTCATATTTGTAGTTACCGAAATAATCGGTTCGGTATCGGTTTGGCCTTATCGGTTCGGTAACCAAACCGATACCAACCCTAATTAAAACTTACGCATGTAGACCATCTCTAAAAGTTACATTATTCTTTATTTTAGCAAGTAAAAAGTTATATTATGTCTTAATATATTTTTTTAGCAAGTAAAAGTTACATTATTCTTTATTTTAAATTTGAATAATATTTTAAACAAGTTATGTTATTTGAATTTATTATCAACATTTTCTTAAATTCTTTACAAACCAATTCAAACTTTTGTGTGAATATCCTAGAAATATTTTTAAATACTTTAATAATCTTTTGATTAATTGTATCTTAGAATGTTTTTGTATATTTCATGTATTTTTAATATTATTTTGATTGTGACTATAAATTAGTGATAAAACACAAATATATTACGTGAAGAATATAATTATAGTAATTTAGATTTGGACTGATCAAATTTAGATAGTAATAAGTATAGTAATTTAGATTTGAACATAACAGCATTATTCTAGGAGTTCGGGAATTGTTGGAAAGGGAATGGCAAGTAGAGGTTCGAAATCCAAATTTGGATCACTATTCTGAAATGTTCATGTAGTATATAATAAGGGTTAAATTAACTGAGTATTCTTTTTTTCAAAGAAAGTCTTTCTAAGACTAAGATAAGAAAGGAAATGATGTATACACAGGAAAAACTGTGTGCAATGAAAACTGCCGGTAGGGGTTTTTCTTTATCTTTATTTAAGTAACAGAATAAAGCAAAGAAATTATCTACTCCGTCCGACTAGTTCCGGGTTCGAATCCCGGGCAACCCGTGTCGAAATTCTATGTATAGCAAGCCATTCATATTTTCTTTTTGTAATCCACTTACATTTAGTTATTTAGTTCTACAAAATGGAATAGATTTAGATAGTGGGATTGGTTGACACGAATTGATAAGCCATGTTATACTGTTGAATAACAAGCTTTCCATTTTCTAATTCGATTTAGACTATAGGAAATTAGTGTGCTTCGAGAACAGAATTTTTTCACATTCTCGACGATCCTCCTACCGGGTGAAACCGTAGTTAGAACACAACAACTTAGGAGTTTCTTGACGATCCTCCTACGGGGTGAAACCGTAGTTAGAACACAACAACTTAGGAGTTTCCTACACTCGTAATGTAGTCGTTTAACGCACTCGCCTCCTATTTTGCACCAAAAAAAAAAATTTGAACTTGATAAATTTAGATAGTAAAATTTAGATAATAGGACTCGTTATAACAGATTCTGCATGAAACAAAAAAAATCTCTTAGTAAGAATCGGTCTATAAAAAAAGGTAATAAAATTGTGCTCTGTTGAACAAAATTGTGCTCAAAAGAAATGTAATAAACGGTCTAAAAAAAGTAACAAAATTGTGCTCAAAAGAAATGTAATAAAATTCTATGTAATAAAATTCTCTTGGTGTATTTTTAGATGAAACAAAAAGAAACTGTAATAAAATTATCTCGATGTTCCCCAAATTTTTAGATTAAAAAAAAAGAAACTGTAATAAAACTGTGCGATTTTTCTTCATAAATAATTCAATTACATCCAGAAACTGGTAATAAAATTCTCATTCAATTACATCTAAAAACTCATACTTCATCCTCTTTACTGTGCGATTTTCCTCCATACATATAAAATTATGGATAGATATCCAGAAACTCATGCTTCACATTTAAATGAAACATTTTCCCCACCTGCGCATATACACCAAAAAGGCCATTTTCCTCCATAAATATAAAATTACAAATAGATATCTCATACTTCACATTTAAATGAAAAATTTTCCCCATCTGCGCATATACACCAAAAAGGCAAAAACTCACACAGCCAACAATGTCAGCACCTCATCTCCCTCCATCCATCCAAAAAAACAAAGGGCATAATTTTTTTTCTAAAAGAATTTCAATTTTCCCTTAGCTACCGACCCTTTCGCCATCCGCAAACGGCAGGTCGCTTTTTGGGTCCCAACCAAGCCCGAGCAATCATCGCCAGCTCCAAGAGTCACGGCAAAGTAGAGATAAACAGTGCACAAGAATGCAAGGAGGGCAAGAGCCGTAAGTAGAAACCGATGCCTCTGAACAAGAGTCGAGCAGCTTCCAAACTCTTCACCTCTCGACTGCTGTTTTTTCAGTGAATTAGGCTGAGAAAACGCAGTCTGCGACTGAGACCTCCGGTGTGGTGAGGTTATAATGTTGTCGAGAGCCATAGATTAAACGATTTTGGTAAAAATGATGAAATTCCTGCACGAGTTCCCAGTTGAATCAACTAGTAAGAGTATATTTCGAAGCCAAAATATCACAATGAAGAATTGTAAGGCCAGCAATTCTTTGGGAGATGGCTATAAACATTGCCCTCCATTTTTAGCTTAATCATGTTATGTTTCAAACTTGTAAGTAACCCTCAAAATGTTACAAACACCTCCTTGGAGTTTTATTCATCCAACAATAATCTCATTAGTGTGCAACTTGCAAAAGAGAAACAAAGGCCGAAAGAGTTTTGTAACTTTGAAGCTTGATTCCTGTTGTAATTAGACCAAACATCTT